AATTATACTTGATTTGTTTTCAATGAAAGTAAGAGAAAGAGATATCATTTCGATCATTGCCTTTTTTTGTAAAAATATTTGTGCAAATTTAACTACATAAGTCAGCTCAAAAGTGAAAAAAAATTAGTATGAGCTGTTCATGTTGTGTATGTTTTTTTTTTCTACAAATAGACGCTTCTTTTTTCAATCAACTTGTACTGAAATTTGAATTTGTTTTGATATTCTCCTGTAAATTATAAAATTACCACCGAAGTTTTTGTACAAATTATTTTGCATTTTTTCCTGTTTTTCTATGTTTTGACTCAACGGGCTTCATCCTGTAATATCTCGGTTTTTTTTACTCTTAACACGTCATTGAAAAAACAAAAATGTATATTAATGCTTTTTCATTCGGAGGAAGGATTAACTTTTCAGATTCTAACTTTTTTTGGCTCCTTGTTAGTATATTCAATTTTGTCTGCTCTTTACAGCTGGACAAAATTTGCGTTCCTCAAACGAAAGTTTTTGTGATATAAGACACTAATTGTTTTTGGTTTCAATGATGATTTTTTGTATTTCCTAGCTTTCTGATTTTTTTTGGCTAGTTGTCATACCATTTTATTTCTCAAGTGGCTCGAAGCTCCATTTTGACTCTGTAAGTCTGAATCCAAGTGTTTTGAGGTTGAAAAATAGGGAATTATTTCAGTGGTTTGATGAAAATTTTTGATTTGCTTCACTTAGAGTGCAAAGCTTTGCTTAACTTACATTTGAAAAATAGCCCGTGCCATCATCACCCAATCGCGTCATCATCTTAACATACGATACACCATATCACTATCTACCATCCCTGTAAGTTTCAGCTCCCTAGGGTCACTGAGGGTCGAGAAATAGCCTCCAGAATTCTGGTGGGGGTTTATTTGTTTAGGGCGTAAATTGGGCCGGGGTAACCTTGGGGTTCCGAAACTTCAAACTTAAGCTTTCCTCACCTAGGGCTACCACATACGAAAAAATGAACTCAATCGGACCAATAACTAAGAATTTCCAGCGAGACCATTTGCATTTCCGGGAACCGTTATCACTCGGCCCGGGGGGTTGCGTGGGTCCAACTTTTTGCATGCCCGGGTCAAATCATCTCAAGTATCACTCCAATAAATTTCAAAAAGTCCGCCCCGGTAGGTCCCGAGTTGGGGTAGGGACTGTCCGGGGATATTCCACCACCCATTTTCACTAAGTGGGGGGATTATTTCCCCGCTGCTTGAGAAAATTCAAGTTTAATTCGATTAACTTAGCTACTTTATTATTTACCGGTCGATCATCAAGTTGCGTACTAAACATTCAATTTACCTTAATACATATTAATCAATTCTTGATAGTTACCATGGATTTTGAAACATATACCAAATTTTCTCAATACTTTCAAGACGATTCCAAAGGGAAGGATGATATTGTCCGCCCGCTTTACCGTAACCAACGGAAAAGTTTCCACTTAAAGATGAAGAAATTTTCCATTCTCGGTCGTACACTATGCCGAGACGGGAAAAATGTTCTACACGGACTTAACGTCACTCCCGTGCTACGGAACTTACACAAATCGGCATTAGACCACCAGGGAAACTGCTGTGAATTACATCGAGAAGCACTTTCGAGGTATTTTATTGAAGGAAACCTCCTAGTTAGTTGCCAAAATATCTACATCGAACGTATCGAGATTGCAGAAGCCAGGATGATTTTATCCGACAAAGTCCCCATGCGGCACTTAACGGCCAAGACACGCGAACGAATATGTCGAACGATTATGACGCCGGTGAAGAAAGCAAAGGGAAATCGTTCACATAAGCCTGGCGTCTCTGTCTTCATTGCCGGAAAAAACCCTATTGCCACCCAGGACTGCGATAGCGCCAACATTCGTTCGCACGAACCGATTACAATTGAAGGTACTTGTACTCTTTCTTCTCGTTTACTGGATTGCATACATTACCTTATTACCGGGAGAAAGGTACAGTCGTACCGCCTTCAATGGACCCTAGAGGATCGGCAATCGCGCGAACAAAAGCGGTTAGGCTCCTCCTATTACCCTTATCACGATCCCGGCAAAACGTTACTATCCCGGGGGTTCATCGATTCCGACATGCTTCTGCTCGCCGAAATGCTTAGGGTACATATATACGAGTACTGGACCGACCTAAGTCCCACCAAATAGAATTTCATCGCGGGGAATAAACACGGCCAAAACGGGGAGGAAGCTATCTACCTTTAATACTGGCTACAACTTGAGGGGGTCCATAAGGGGGAGGGACATGTAGCCATCATTACTGGGATGCGTCCAAAAATATCATAATTTTACCCAAAATTCACATTAGAATTCACCATTCATATTATTAACTATATCCACCTCATTTTCATCCTCTTATTTAATTTCCACCAATTTGGATATATATTATGCACATGCTTCGATTCGTTCAACTCTGACAAATATTTACTACAAATTTTTACTAGTTTATAGGACGTTCAATTTTGGGCTGTGCAAATCCTTCCAATCTGAATCATCGCTTACTTCAATTGCTGTAAAACGTGAGTAATCTTTCGGTATAAACTTTCAATAATTTGTTTTGAATATTTTGTAACCTGTATTTTTAGCCCCTCTTTTCACTTAACATTTTGTCCTATTTAGAATCAATTTCGAATCGAATATCAACATGCCCTACAAGCAAATTTGGGTCTTGAATTTCGAAGGGGTGTGGCCTAAGGCTGACCCCTTCTTCTGGTTCGAACGGCCGGAAAAAAAATGACTTCCCCCTTTCGGGTCCTCACGATTTGCACGGCGGCCTACCTAGGAGACGTCCGTGGGGACTTCGATGTGTTTCCACTGACGATTACATTCCTACGGAATAGGCAAGAGGAACTCACGTCGTTAAACCCAGGAAGCCCTGTCGCCCGGGAACTGATACGCCAGTTGAAGACATGGGCGAAAAACCTTGGTTCAGAACAAAAAGAATTAAAGGCCGACATTGGTGAGGTCAGGTCACTCGTTGACCTGGCCTCCGAATTTATCGATCTATTGATGTAAATATTACTCTCCAATATGTATATAATCGAATTGAATTTAAATATAAACTGCGTTTTCCGGCTATATGAGTTTAGGTACAATCACATATTCTACATATACACTCAATTGGTGATTCAACAAAATAGTTGATTTGCATCGACACAAAGACAGATTCCGGTTAGTCATATTTGGAGTGTTCCTAATGGAAAGGATTAGTTAGTTAGTTAGTTATTGGTGCGACCCGAAGTTAGATATCGGGTGAGATTATATGCGTGAGCGAATTGAACTATGGAGCTAGCGAGTTTGGATTACAGTCAAGCGAGGACCGACGAGCGATTGTATCTATGTAGTGATTGAACGAACGAGAGGCGAGCGTTTCTGTTGAAGCATCGTACTAATTAGTAAGCTCACCACTGGCCTTGTAAGCTACATTTATTTTTCTTGAATGTTTTGTTAAATACATATTCCTCACAAGCTTGACACCGGTGAAGAAAGCGAAGGGAAATTGTTCGCATAAGCCTGGCGTCCCTGTCTTCATTGCCGGAAAAAACCCTTTTGCCACCCAGGACTGCGATAGCGCCAACATTCGTACGCACGAACCGATTACAATTGAAGGTGCTTGTACTCTTACTTCTTGTTTACTGGATTGCATACATTACCTTAATACCGGGAGAAAGGAACAGTCGTACCGCCTGCAACGGACCTTAGAGGATCGGCAATCGAGCGAACGAAAGCGGTTAGGCTCTTATTATTACCCTTATCACGATGCCAACAAAACATTATTTTTCCGAGGAGTGATTGATTCCGACATGCACCTTCTCGCCGAAATGCTCGGAGTACATATATACGAGTACCGGACCGACCTAAGTCTCCCTAAGTGGAGTTACATCGCGGGGAATAAGCACGGAAAAAACGGATCGGAAGCCATCTACCTCCAGTACTGGATGCAACATCAGGGGGTCCATAAGGGGGAGGGGCACGTCGCCCTTATCACTGGGATTTGTCCAAAAACGTCAAAAAGTTATCCAAAATCCCCTTTTACTTTCACCTTTCATATTATTACATATATCCACCTCATTTTCATCTTCTTATTTAATTTCGACCAACTTGGGTATCCATTATGCACATGCTTCGAGTCGTTCAACTCATGCAAATCTTTACTACGAATATTTACCAGTTTATGGGACGTTCGAAATTGAGCTGTGCGGATCATTCTAATTTGAATCATCGCTACAATCAATTGCATCAAAACGTGAGCAAACTTCGGAATAATTTGTTCGGAATGATTTCTAACCTGTATTTTAGCCCATCTTTTCACTAACTTAGAAATAACCGTACTTGTCCTATTTAGACTCACGATCAATCTACCAATGTCCCGAAGCAAAATCGTCTGGAACCTTGACCTAGAGTAGGGGTTCTGCCCGGACTGCCCTTGCGTCTTCTGGGGCCGGTCCCAGAAGCCGGAGGAACTTCCACGCCAGGTGTCCCAAATCAAAGCCGCTGCCTACATGGGGAATACCAGGGGCGGTTATAGCGTGTCACCCATCTTCATCCGGTTCGTGGGAGAGGAAGAGCTCGACGAAATGACCCTATTCGCGGGGAGCCCGGTTGCGCGGGATTTGGCCAGCAAGCTGGGCGAGTTTGCAAAGAACTTGGGCCGTCGCCGCATGGTGTTAGCTGGAGATATCGGGGAGGCTTGCTCCCTCATAGAGCTGGTCTCGGAAAACTATGAGAGATTTCTATGAACTGAAAACTCCCCTAAAATTCTATAATTTTGATGTCGAACGATTTTAATAATTCAATCTATCGGTAAATTATTTTCCGGCTATGTAGTTTTAAGTAGAATTACCCATTCTACACACCACATAGAAACCCGGAACAAAAACTCTTGTTAAAAAAATCGCTTCAGCGACTTCTTCTGGTGTTAACGGCGTTTTCGCGCAAAAATTATTAACGGAACGTAAAAAATGGGATCATTTAATAAGTACTAAAAGCACCCCGGATGATGAAATTTGATAGGTTGGAACTCTTTCAAAAACTCATGCAGAATATGGAAGACTGAACCTTGTTGACCGCGGAGTGACCTCTATTTGAACTTTCCGCTCTTAGTCGCGAAATCGCATAAAAACACTAGGATTAACGAAGTTAAATCCGAATCCCAACCCACTGAAGGAGTCGATCACCCTGCGTTTACTTGGTAAAAACTTATGCGATAGGAAGCTGAAGCTAAAGAACATAACTCTTAGGTGCAATGTTGAAGAATGGATTGAATACGAGTGAAACTACTCAAACATTGGGTTCAACTCAACCAGACAATTGGACTTCCCAAAGTAACTGAGCTTTTGAGCAGTTTGAGCGGTTATTTTGACAATTACGCTCAAAATCTTGCTTCAAAACGAGCGGTTTAAGCGGTTTTTGAACGGTTTAACTTAAAAAACCGCTCAAAAACCGCGCAAGATTTGAGCGGTTTTTGAGTGGTTTATCTAGAAAAACCGCTTAAAAACCGTCCAAATCTTGCGCGGTTTTTGAGCGTTTTTTTTAGATAAACCGCTCAAAAACCGTTCAAATCTTGCGCGGTTTTTGAACTCATAGATATATAATCGCTCATAGATATATACAAAGATACGTACATACATCTATACACACATACATACATACATTCATACATACATACATACATACATACATACATACATACATACATACATACATACATACATACATACATACATACATACATACATACATACATACATAGATACAAACTAAATTACATTTAAACATGCATACATACATACATACATACAAACTGCATCTTAGCGTCACATTACCTTTCCAGGCCTTTTTGTTGGTTTTAATCGGTTTTCTTTATAAGACCGCTCAAAAACCGCTTAAAAACCGCTCAAATCATGCTTGAAAAACCGTTCAAAAATCACCGCAAGAAATGAGCGGTGTTTGAGCGGTTTTTTAAGCAAGATTTGAGCGGCTTGAGCGGTTTTTCTAAAAAAACCACCTAAACCGCTCAAACCGCTCAAATCTTGCTGGAAAACCGCTCTAACCGCCCATATCTTGAGCGGTTTTTGAGCGGGATCTCGACCCAGGGGACCAAAACGCCATTGCGGCGACCAGGACTAAATCATCTAAATTAGATGATTAGATGGTTTATTTAATTAGCTCCAGGTGGTGGCTTTTTGGCTGAATTAGGGGCAAAATACGCTTCTCTATAGCTAGAAGTTTGGGATTGAAATAGACCATAGATAAGAAGGTTAGAGGCTTGAAGTGATATAGCTATCCTTGAAAATGACCTTTCTTAGCCAGGAGAAACTGGAATAATAACGAGGTAAAAACTCCTTGGGGAGTTGTGTATTTAATTATTGCTTGGATTAGGGATGAACCTTGTATTTGCACAACTCAGCTAGAGTTACCTATTCTGAACTCGGCTTTTAGGATCAGTAACGTCAGATAAATCATTTTGTTAGGGTTTTGTTTAAAGCTAACGAAAATAAAACGCAGGACTTGTAGAGATGAACATAACTCAAAGTTTGAGAGAAAACAAAATCAAAAAAAGTCTGATGTAAAAAAGTCTCAGCTAAGTGACTAATTAACTCAACTGGTGATTCAACGAGATAGTTGACTTGGATTGACACAAAGATAGATTCCGGTTAGTTATATTTGGAGTGTTCCTAATGGAAAGGATTAGTTAGTTAGTTAGTTAGTTAGTTAGTTAGTTAGTTAGTTAGTTAGTGGTGCGACCCGAAGTTAGATATCGGGTGAGATAATATGCGTGAGCGAATTGAACTAAGGAGCTAGCGAGTTTGGATTCCAGTCAAGCGAGGACCGACGAGCGATTGTATCTATGTTGTGATTGATCGAACGAGAGGCGAGCTTTTCTGTAGAAGCATCGTACTAATTAGTTAGCTCATCACTGGCCTTGTAAGCTACATTTGTTTTTCTTGAATGTTTTGTTAAATACATATTCCTCACAAGCTTTATTGGAACAATTAGAAAAATTGAGAAGCGAAAAAGAGCAACTAACGGGGGAAGCTTCAAAACGGTTTGATTTGAGCCCATCAAGACCATCAATTCAATTTTTCGGGTTTGTGGATAATACTGTGATTCAATCCACAGCAATAGAACTGAATAAAGGGGGAGAGTCCGTGGCGACTCTGGGTTGCGATAAGTGACTTACAGGAGAGAACCCTTGCCCTCGAAATCTACAAATAGTGAAATTGCTCACTAAATCCGAACATGAGCATAACCTTTTCGGGATTGTGGATAGTATTGTGACTCAGTGTCTCGCGATTCAGTGCTGTATAAAATGGAAAATATCTGCTATGAGTCGCGATAAGTCACTTAAAAAAAGAAATCTGGAAATCTGCTAAAATTGGGTTCATTCAGAAGCGTCCATGAAAGAAGTAGGATAAGATGAACTGATTTTGACCCAGACACCTTTGGGGGAGGGTTAAAGAGATCCACTTATGTTTATGTCAAGAGGATTTTAAAATTTCGATTGCTATAAACGTCCAAGTCAACCTTTTGGGTTCAGTTGTTTCCACAGTTTGAGAAGTCTGGGTGACAAACTCCGAACACGACAGCGAACAGAATGATGACAATGAGAACTGTAATGATGGCGACCCAGAGTTTGATGTTTTTCCAGAAAAAATGCTGTCGCACCCTCCGGCTCGTCTGGCGGAATGACTGCGACTGTAATAAAAAGACAAACAATTAATAAATTACTTTAAAAAGCTAAAAACTTGCAAATTTTAACCAAATGTTCAATTATTTTATTTAAACATCAGTTAAATTCAGCCTGTTAGAAAAAAAGTTGTGGTTAAAAGTACCATTTTGGATGCTCTCATTGATTAAAAACTGACTTAATTTTTCCTAACTACAGATGGATGGTATCATGGAAACTCTGTAAAACGTAGTGCTGTAATTGTAAAAAGTTAATCAAACTGTACAAGCTGATGACCGCAAGTCAGACAGCCTGGAAGCGAAGCAATATCACCCCAACTCACCCCTATTTTAGGGCATATAATTTGGTGGGGTGGGGGCTGAAATGGGAACGAAACAAAAAGTGTATTATCTGAATAATGCAAGTTACGTACTGAAGCAGTTGTAAAAACTTTGATTTATACAATATATACTAATATTGGCGCCAATTTATACTAATATTGAGGGGGGAGCACGCGCCAAAAAAACGCAATTTTTTGGTCAAACTTTTTTAAAAAGTGCCTAAAAACGAAAACAAGGAATTTTTAGTGCTTTGGGAGCGCTTGAAAAAATTACCTAATTTGGTCGACCTAAAAAAACCCCCTCGAGGAAATCCTAGATTCGCCCCTGGTTCTAATTATTTTTATTTTTTTTTCGATGAAAGTAGGAGAAGGAGATATCATTTCGATCATTGTATTTTTTTGTAAAAAAAATATTTGCGCAGATGTAACTACATAACTCAGCTCAAAAGTGAAAAAAATAAGAGTCCTAAGTTAGTATGAGCTGTTTATGTTGTGTATGTTTTTTTCTACCATTGGACGCTTTTTTATTCAATCAACTTGTACTGAAAATCGAAGTTGTTTTGATTTACTCCTGTAAATTATAAAACTACCACCGAAGTTTTTGTACAAATTCTTTCCTGTTTTTCCATGTTTTGACTCAACGGGCTTCATCCTGTAATATGTCGGTTTTTTTGACTCGTCATTGAAAAGACAAAAATGTATATTAATGCTTTTTCATTCGGAGGAAGGATTAAACGTTCAGATTCTAACTTTTTTTGGCTCATTGTTGGTATATTCAATTTTGTCTGCTCTTTACAGCTGGACAAAATTTGCGTTCCTCAAACGAACATTTTTGTGATATAAAACACTAAAGTTTTTGGGTTTTATTGATGATTTTTTGTATTTCTAGCTTTCTGATTTTTCTTTTGGCTAGTTGTCATGCCATTTTATATCTCAATTGGCTCGAAGCTCCCTTTTGACTCTGTAAGTCTGAATTTAGGCTTCAGTTTGTCAAAACTCTAGTAAATTTAATGCAAAGTAAAATTCTTTACGCTAAAGCATTGTTTTTGGTTCAGCGAAGTGAAACAAAATTTGGATAATGAAATGAAACAAAAGTTGCATCTGATAACGGTTTTTTGAAGGCAAATGTTTTGAGGTTGAAAAATAGAGAATTATTTCAGTGGTTTATTGAAAACTTTTGATTTGTTTCACTAAGAGTGCGAAGCTCTGCTTAACCTACATATAAAAAATAAACATGGAAACAAAAATTCTTGTTTTGGAGCAAAATACTGATTAATTCGACTGTTATTTAAGCAAAACAAGTTAACATATTTCGATTTTTTTCAAAAAAAAATTTTTTCCAAGTGTTTGTATTTCCACTCGTATTTTCAATTTAAAATGCTATAAGTTGTGCAATTTGTTGATACGATTAACATTTAAGTCATAATTCAGTTTGGAACTATTCGTTTCACCGTGAGCACTACTGTAAGGCTGACTTTCTAATTTGATAAACTAATGGAGCGTGTGCTAGTTATCTCATCAACATAGTAACTGGTTACCCATCAAAGTAAACCCTCAGAGTTTCAATCCCTCATACTTAAGATTTAACAGCCGATAGTGATTTTTTTAGCTGATTATCAAATCCTTAGATGTTATGACGATGTTATACAAACAGTTCCGCAAAAACTTCTAGTTCCGAGAACAATTATTCATTCTCAGCACAATTCGATCATTCTCAGCACAATTACACCAAAATTTTCCACAAATTTTAGAAGAATAACAGCAGCGGAAGCATGAAAAAAAAATTGTTTTTTAAAAATGGAACAATAATTATGTAATCAATTTCAACGGTAAATTAAAAAAAACCTAATTACAAAAACGACTTCTCGTATATCAGGGCCAGGCCTTGAACTTTCTGACTGACGCGTAAGATGTGTCGAATAAAGCTTCGTATAAAAATGGTAATAACTCACAAATTTTAACAAAAACATTGAACATCAACTAAAACAGACTTTTTTTTACGAAACTAAAACGAACAATTAGCTTAGATCGGTTTACTTGCCACACAAACTATTCCCCGTATCCAATAAAAGTTTTCAAACTTGTTCGAACTTTTATTTAGATAACAGAAACTACTCATGGAGAAGCTATCTATTTCTCATCTAATGGAAACAAAAATATTCTTAGAAAAATAACCTGAAATCAGTTCACTGTACAATCTATTTGAGATAAACATTGATTCTACATGCTTTGAGTATAAACAATAGTCAATTATTACTTGATATAACCATTGTTGCTTCGAATTATTGTTCCGACTTTCGATACGATAGTAACGGAATATTTGTGCTCGGGGTGGTTTTTTTTCTTCAGACCAATTTCGACTTTTTAACTAGCCATTTTTGACGGATTTTTTTTATCATTCAAAACGTATTGTTGTCCTGAGCTCAAATTTGAAAAGATATTTTGCCTGTGATCATTTTTTGTCAAGTTATGGGGGTTTAAAAATTGCCATTTTGGCCAATTTGAGACAATTAAAGCGCGATATATTTCGCGCTATTAACGCGTGAGCGGAGAGTTAATCCGTCTTGAAAATCGTTCCAAATTGGTTGAAAGAAGCTTATTTGCCATAATTGATTTGTTACAAGGAGCGAAATCTATTGTTCTGTACTTTATATGGCGTGTGGGGTAATGATTTTCATAAAAAAAATTCAAATTTAAGAAAAAAAAATTCATTTTTTTTTTCTTACATTTAATTTTTTAATGTTATTACTGCTCCATAAAACCTTAAAAGGCAGTCGGAACATTCAGGGCTTCGCCCTGATACGAGCAGTCTTGTTATGATAAGACTCTTCTTGTGGTAGTTTCATGTGACTGAGTGGTTAACGCTTCTATCTAGTTAAAGTAAAATTGGGTGCTCAAATCTCAACTGGAGATTTTTTCATAGGAACCGGGAACCGGTCAAGGCTTAACTTTATTCTAATTGAAACTTCAGTTTAAAATTAAACAAGACTGCTCGTATCAAAGCAAAGCCCCGAATGTTCCGACTGCTTTTCAAGGTTTATGGAGCAGCAGTAATAGCATTAAAAAATTAAGAGAAAATTTTTTTCTTCTAAAATTTGAATTTTTTTGAAAATCATCCCCCCACACGCCATATAAAATACAAAAAGAGAGATTTCGTTCCTTCTAACAAATCAATTATGGCAAATAAGCTTCGTTCAACCAATTTGGAACGATTTAAAGGACGGATTAAATCTCGTTTACGCGTTAATAGCGCGAATTATATTGCGCGTTAATTGTCCCAAATTGGTCAAAATGGCAATCTTTGAAACCCCAGAACTTTACGAAAAAAAATCACAGGTAAAATATATTTTCAAATTTAAGCTCAGGAAAACAATAGCTCACGAATAATATTTTGAAAAATCCGTCAAAATGGCTAGTTAAAAAGTCGAAATTTGTCTGAAAAAAAAACCACCTCGAGCAAAAATATTCCGTTAATTTCGTTGCAAAAGTCAGAAAAATAATAGTCGGTGTTAATATCCTTAGCATTGGCGGTACTTAATAGCTGGTTATTGATCAAAATGAACACTTTCAAAATGAACACATTTTATCGCAACAATATTTGCTTCGCAACAATAATTGCGACTTAAGTTGATAAAAAAAGATAGTTCATACTATAACACAAGCTTTGCTTGTGTAATAAAACAAGCAGTGAAGAAAAAAGGTTCAAAATAAAAAGAATACAAGCATTCGATTTATTTTTATTCTTTAGTGTTATGAAAACGTGAAAAAATCTGAAGTAAACCCACCTGGTCGACAAAAACACGATATGAAAGAAATTATTTTTAAATGATTGCTATATTTCAGATTCAGAATCAGCTAAAAGACCTAAGCTATGTGCTCACCCTATGCTGGATACAAACATAATTTAGTACTGCATTTCTGAAGGTAAACTGAAAATAGACACTTTACAACTTACAATTAAAAAAATAAATGAAATAAAATAAAATGAATTTTTTTTCTAAAGTTTGAAATTTTTTATGAAAATCATCCCCCCACACGCCATATAAAGTACAAAAAGATAGATTTCGTTCCTTGTAACAAATCAATTATGGCAAATGAGCTTCGTTCAACCAATTTGGAACGATTTATAAGACGGGTTAAATCTCCGCTTACGCGTTAATAGCGCGAATTATATCGCGCGTTAATTGTCCCAAATTGCTCAAAATGACCAAAAAGGCAATCTTTAAACCCTCATAACTTCACGAAAAATGATCACAGGTGAAATATCTTTTCAAATTTAAGCTCAGGATAAGAATATCTTTTGAATGATATAAAAATTCCGTCAAAAATGGCTAGTTAAAAAGTCGAAATTTGTCTGAAGAAAAAAAAACCCACCCCGAGCACAAATATTCCGTTACTTTCGTACCGAAAAACGGAACAACAAGACTGCTCGTATCAGGGCAAAATCCTGAATGTTCCAACTGCCTTTTAGGGTTTATGGAGCAGCAGTAATAACATTAAAAAAATTAAATGAAATAAAATAAAATGAAATTTTTTTTTTCTAAAATTTGAAATTTTTAATGAAAATCATCCCCCCACACGCCATATACAGTACAAAAGTATAGATTTCCCTCCTTGTAACAAATCAATTATGGCAAATAAGCTTCGTTCAACCAATTTGGAACGATTTATAGGACGGATTATATCTCC